TGTGTGTGTGTGTGTGTGTGTGTTCCTCCCTGCACATATATAAATGCAGCCCATTGATGAGTATCAGAGACGGATAAGTTACAATATCAGCCCTGATATGTGGCGTCTCTGTGGAGATGCCAGTTCTCCATGTCGCCTATTAGAAAGCAAAGTCACAGGACACACGCAGCAGAGTGGAGGGAGACAGGACAGGAGGAGACAGCAGGAGACACACACCAGCACTCACTCATGAGAGCTTCATTTATCTTTAATTGATCAGCTCAAACTCAGGCTTTTCTTGGAGCCAGCTATAAATTAGGCCAAGAGGGTCACTGAGGGAAGAACTTGCAGGGGGAAAAGCCCTTCGTACAAAAGATGGAGAGAATAACAGTTAACCTTAAAACCCAAAACTCAAAGTGTCACTGTCACTCTAAAAGATGAGCTCAAGTGTGTGGATGTCACCGTGCAACTGGACAACTTCAACATAAAACACAATGTGTAAAGGTGCAAATAAATGCTGGCATGTCTTAGTGCGTCCTCTCATGCAGCCTTATGTTCAGTTCGGACTTTCCACTAAACGGATGTTATTTTTGCCCTCAACCACATTAATGACCATAACCAACTTATCCCTGCGCGCACGGGTCACTGACCATTGAGGGGACGAGAGGAGGACATTCACAGTGATCTGCGGCGCCATGGCAACCACTCTCATCCGGCGCTGGCGACCATTACGCGCCAGTTCCGCGCTCGCGCCGGAGCATATGAAATAATTGGTGTGTTATTGGTCTCCCGGGGGTGCGGGCATGTGTGGCGCGAGGGGTTCCTAATTGGATCTATTTGTTTTGATGTGTTTTAGCGGCGTTAAAGAAGAGGGGAGGCTACGGCACTTTGCGCGTGTTTCCGTTTGTTTGCTTTATAGTTTGCTGTAGTGACTGTAGTCGAGTCTGCACAGCTTGACAGCGACAGTGAGCGTTGTGTGATTTTATTTTTGTGCACATGGAGTTATTGTGTGGACTTCAGGCAAAGGCGTGCCCAAGAGTTTTAACATGCCTCAGGAGGCCTCACCTGGGACATGAAGTGATAGCAGACTATAGTCATTGTCAGGTGTCAGTCAGGTTATTTTGCATCATCGGTAATTACTCCAGCTTACTTTACTTTAAACAGACTCCTCCTGCACCATCTTACTCTGCTCTGAATAAAAAGTTCAGTGTCTGACAGTGAAAATATCAGCAACTTCTTATTCTCCTCTGGGAACTTTTCGTTGAGTGATTGCGCGCGGGCACGTTCGGCCATTCACCAGCATTTCTGTTATTATTATTATTTTGATTATTATAGTCATCTCCTGTCCACGCGCGGCGGGAGAGCACCCGGCTCCCACGTGGCCCGTTTCTGATTTCATCTTAATAAGGTCAGTAATAATCGCGCGAGCCAGTCAAGGAGAAAACAGCTCCCGCGGGACCCATTGAGAAGAAGCGCGATGCGCGTGAGCCCGGAGGTGCCACGAGCTGACCCGCGAGCTTCACAAACTATCTTATCACGCAGCTCGTGCGGCCGCTGCCCCCCACTACCGACCCCCCCTCCCCTGTCTCGCGGGACCCGCCTCGGCACGGCATGGCACGCCACGCGCTCGGTCCCCATTGTCAACTCGGGCGCTAATAAAATTGTCCCTCCTGCAGGCGAGTCTTGTTGGAAAATTAATTTTATCTAATTATACTGATGTCACCGCCGCCTTTCAGCGCGTAATTAAAATCTGACCTGCGAGCCTCCGCTTTCATTCTTTGATGGGGAGGCAGAAAAAAAGCTGAAATTGAATTAGACAAATCAAATATTAGGTGGATGATTGTGTTTGGAGGCTGATTATCGGTTTGCATGTTTCTTCTCTCTCCCTCTGCAGCGCACCGTGCAGAAAAACGCCAAGTATGTGTGTCTGGCCAGTAAGAACTGTCCTGTGGACAAGAGGAGGCGCAACCGCTGCCAGTACTGCCGCTTCCAGAAGTGTCTGAGTGTGGGCATGGTGAAGGAAGGTACGAGAGCACGCACGCACGCACACACACAAACACACACACACCTGATATACCCACTGAAAACACGACAGGTTCGGTAGGATTCACTGGCATCTATAGCAGCGAGGTTCCATGGTTCAGCCAAATGAATTTCACCCTCTCTTTAAATGGAACAGCCTACAGTGGCGTTCAGGTAATGTACAGTTGAAAAAGTGAATGGCCCTCTCTAGAGCCAGTGGTTAATTTGTCCATTCTGGGCTACCTTAGAAATACAACATGGCAGACTTCGTGGAAGAGGAGCCTCTCCTGTTGATATAAAGGGCTCCTAAGGTTATGAAAACACAGTGATTCTTGGTTTCATGTGATTATACACTAATGGAAACATGATCATAATATTTCTGCAGATGGATCTTCCTATATACCACAATCTGGATTTTTAAAACAAACACACACAACCAGGGCGGTGAAGCGCAAATCTGACTTCCAGTCCATGAAGTTTGTCTGCAATTAGGGTTTAATAGGCACTAATGACCAGGCCTGTGGCAGCATCACACACATCCATGCAGAACTAACTCCCTTCTCTCAGTGGAGGAAGCAAAAAGGAAAATTCACTATGACAATAAGTACCCATCATATTAATGCCTCTAAATGTGGGATTGTTTCAAAGCTTCAACAGAGGAAAGGTGACCCACCTGCTCAAACATTCTCACACTCTCCATCTTTCCATTGTGTCATCGGACTTGCTGCATGTAGATGTTTTGGGTTATATGTAAAATCAGCCTCATGCAGCCATCATTTCTTTGAGGTCTCTCACCTGTTACATGCCATTCAATATATACACGCACAGACATAAACACAAACAAACTCACACAGACACACTGCTTCTCTTTCCCATGAACACAAGTCTGCAGACCGTGGAATAGCTTCACTGCCATCTGCTGGCTGGTAGCCTTCTGTGTATGAATTGTGGAAATGTTTGGGAGCTCCTGAGGAAAAGAGCTTCTTGAAATTCCACTGACACAAAATACTGATAAGTAACCATTCAGTAGCTAGAAGTTCAGCTTTGGCTGAACAACCTCATCATTATTGTCTCTTGACCTCGATCCTCTCTGGTTCACAGTGGTGCGCACTGATAGCTTGAAGGGGCGCCGAGGCCGTCTTCCTTCCAAACCAAAGAGCCCCCTGCAGACAGAAGCGTCTCCACCTTCTCCACCCCTCAGCCTGCTCTCCGCTGTGCTCAGGGCTTATTCCCATTGTACGCCTCGTGACTTTGACTACAGCCAGGTACCACACGCCCCTCGCAACACCCACCCTGTTTCATTTCAGCTCCACAAATGCATTCATGAGTTCATTGAGAAATAAAGCTTTGGTAAATGTTTTTCAATCATTTCTCTCCTCCCTGTGTGTCCCACAGTTCAGTGCTGCCGACCCTCCCTCCTCCTCCTCAGACGCCGAGCACATCCAGCTTTTCTACAGGCTGCTCACCATCTCGATGGAGACCACAAGGTGCTGGGCTGACCGGCTGCCCGGCTTCTCCGAGCTTCAGCGTGATGATCAGAACCTGCTCATAGACTCTGCCTTCCTGGAGCTGTTCGTCCTGAGACTGGCTCACAGGTAAGAGGCCAGAGAGATTCAGTTTCATACCAGAACAACACAGCACAGTGATGAGATGGATGAGAACTTCTTTACACACACACACACGCACACACACACACACACACACACACACACACACACACTTCTGTAGGTTTTGTATCGCTTCTTCCACAAGATTTCTAAATCACACCTTCGACTTCTTCAGCAACTTAAGCTCATTTGGCATCTCATGTAGTGTTATGGACAGCAGGCAGTGGATGTGGTTTACCATCACAGCACAGCGTGTAACTGTGCTGGCAAAGTTGCGTGCTGATGTGTTGGTGTATCTCCAGAGTAGGAGGAGTGGAGCTGAGTAATCGCCATATGAACGAAATTATGAATGGAGTCTGTAGCTATGACAGCAGCTACACCCACAGAGTTCCGCTCCGCTCGTCTGATATCTGACGCACAGAGAGCTCTGTGTGCGTTCTGCAGCCTGAAACTGTGCTCGCATTGTGAACTGTGAATTGACAGGATCAATTCCATCTGAAAGGTAGTCAGCTGAGACACTGAAAAGGGCTGTTATGGAAGGAAATACATATTCAATTCAGCTGACTGATAAAAAAAAAAAGGTGGGGGGGTCAGCTACATTTACCTCACGCGTCCTTGGATGTGTGTGTGTGGGAAAAGCATGTGTGTGTGTGTGTATGTCTCACTTGTGGATACCTGTGGTGCCATTATGACTGCCCCGGCCCATCTCAGTTCCAGGATCGCCCTGGGTTACCGGCCTGCTCTTGTAAGGCATGTGGCTGGTTAAATTTATAGGCAGGAGGGGGGGTCGGGTTACAAGCTCATCCTTTTGTCTGCACTGTTGTCTAAGGCAGAAACCAACACAGTCAGACTCACAAGTGCACTTACTCACACACACAAACACACACACACACACACACACACACACACACA